AGTAATAGTAGAATTACATTTCGAAATCGTAAATAAGTCATAAGGTGTTCTACAAAATCTATTTAAGAAATATTAAATCGTTCTATTCTAAATCTAATCCGTATTATCTAATCTGTATTATGAATGTATAATGTAAAATATAAAATATTATCAGTAAATAAAATATCAAACAGCCTTGAAAAAATACATATTCTTCGTATACAGACTATTTTTAAAATCGTGATCGCCTCCAGCTCATTCTACACCTTTATAAACATGAATAAACTGTACAGTGTTAATAGCATTCACTAAATTAATAGAGAAAACTTTTCGCCAATTACTTGTCATTTGCAATCTGTATACCAGGCAATCTAACATTGTTTGATCTATATCTTCAAACCAATCAACGGTAATAAAAGCAAAATGAAGGCCATCCTCTTGTTGATGACAGAATATTGCTTTAATAATTGCATAATTTTCTCCTTCTTTGATTTTGATAAATCCAACATCTCTGATATTTAAACGATATAATATATTATCACCATTTTCTTTAATAAAGTTGAAATTAGCATATTTGAAAATAATGGCATGTTATTAGATACTACAGAATTGACCCTAAATCTAAATAAGCTTACTTCAATTCTACTTGGATAATCAACAATAGCAACTTTTCTATATCTTTTCGAAAAACGCGCTTCTTTAATAATATATTAGAAATGCATTCGTTTGGAAAGAAATCTTCAAAGACAATTAATTATTTGATTCTTTATTTCAATAAATGCTTTCATATTGAACTATACCTTTGCTTACATCATCCTTAAAATCAACATTATCTTTTGTAACAAACCAATCACCTATCAAACCTTGCAAATGTTTTGGTAAGTTCATAAATCCACTATTGATGTAGAAAACTGAAAATATATTCCTCTGTCTAATAAATGCCATATCACAAACAATGTGGTATAATGTTTAAATAGATCTAGACTTACATTTTTTAGATTAGTTCATGGTACAAGACTTTGAATATTCTATGAACCATCAAAAAAAATATTTGTTTCTATCAGTTTTATGAAGCATCTCTGTTGAAAAATTGATCTAAGCAAGGTTTCAGGATGGGCAGTCAATGCGGATTTAAGGGTTTTATTCTGTTGATATAAGAATCAGAAGCTTATAAAAAGCGGATACTTTGTTTAAGTAAAGACTAACCTTTATCCTCCTATGTAAGGGTTATTTTCCTATCTGATTCTCCGTTTATCTTGGTAAAGAGTGTGAAAAAGGACAGCAAAAGTTATAGATAGATGAATCATTAGATTAAAATAATTTATAATCGTGCCTTTATCTTCGCTTTTGGACAAGTCAATTACAGAAGATTTTACATTTGCAGGTGACATTACTGGTATGGAAGTTGAGATTTCAAACTTTGGATACAAAAATTCCTCCTTTGTTTCGAACTTGAATGCTGCTGAGAATTTAATCATAATATTATATAGCTCAGCATAATTTCCTTGCATATCATAATAAAATATACTTGCATCTTTGATCGTATAAAAGTGAACAATCCCATGTCTGAAAATCAGGATTATGTTAGAGTTACAAAAGAACACTATAATTTTAACAAGCTACATCGTATTACTTGCTTATATGGGAGATCTTTCATCACATGTGTAAATGCATATGGTTTGAGTGAAGCCATTCTTCGATTTCATTTTTAGAAACATTAACTAGATTTCCGCAAAAATACACACTCATCTAGTCTTTACCAAATCCGTTGCATGTAATTTCTGTAAATAAATAAGTGTCGAGAGTAAGCAAGTGAAGAAGTGAAGGAAGGAAGGAAGGAAGGAAGGAAGGAGTAAAGTAAAAACTTACCAGCAGTAGACATAAACATTTTGATGACAAGGACACTCGTGAAGAATTAAATGAAGGGATAGAATATAAAGACGACGAACTAATTCAGCAAGAAAAAAAAGGGAATTTAAGGTTCTTTATAAAAGTAAGCAGTTAAAGAACTTTTGATGACAGACCATGTAACCAATAAGGGAAAGCATTTGGAGGCTAAGCTATTAAAATCACCTTACGGGACCCCACTAACTAAATTTGAGATTTTTGATTCATATTATTATATGATATATGAACTTTATTTAGTTAAATTTTTATAGTCAATTATTTTATTAACAAAGCAAGCAATTAGGCCGTTAAAATTTCTCATTTTTGTGTAACATTAGTCAAAAAATCTAAAATTAGATTTTAGAAATGATCGACAAAATTTGGAAATGATCGAAATTATT